TTTCCGTCCTTTGGCTGTTTCCCGCGTGCAGGCTGGAAGCGAAGTACGGCTTGCCTCTTTTTATATGCTTCTATTGTGCTTACAGTAGAGCCATATTTAAATCAGTATGCAGGCTGTCACCGAAACACAAATAAATAAGGAGAAGAACAACATGTTCCCTTACATTTTATTCCTGTTAACATGACACAGCTGGAGTGTTTTTCCTGCCTCGTGTCACACATCCCCGGGAGCTGCTCTGCACCCACGGCCACCTCTGCCGTGCACACCGATTTACTGAAGGCAACGAGCCCAAACTAACGCCACAGATGCTTGAAAGCTGCATCTGGCCCACTCTCTCATCAAAACAATGATGCTGATGACGGACGAGCCAAAAGGTGTCTAGGGTCACATGTGCAGGGTATTTAAGCTTAAAGACAGATGCCTACAGGATTTGTAAAAGACACTCAGTGACTTGTTTAGTGTTCTTGAATGGAGCTGAGGACCTAACCCCTCAGCAGAAAGCATTTTGCTGTATGCTGCCAAGTTGGACCTGAAGAAGTTCAGCGACAGCAGAACACGTTGCTCAGCGAATAGGGCATATGGTTTGCACAACGGTGGAGATATGTGTCAGCAACAACCAACCGGTCACTATACAGCTATACAGCCCCACCGTATTTCTAGAGCCATACGGGTGCAAAGGTACCTGCTCCTGTATTCCTCTGTGTGCTGGGACTGCCCAGCTGCTGATGCGAAAGCCCCCTGTGCAAGGCAGGACACAGAGGGCAACTTTCTGCCCATGCTTGCAGCCCTGTGCACCTTTCCCCCTCAGCTGGCCACAAAGCAACCTTGACGTCCCTGGGAAAGAAATACCAAACGCCCAAGTGCCAGATAAAGCAGGAATCCAGGCTGCAAGGACTGGGCTGCAGTTCCCGGCTCAGCCTTCAAGCACCTTCAGCAGCATACTTTTAGCCTTCGCATTGTGGCCTGCTGTAGGATATATAAACTGCTTCAAACAATATTCCAGCAACCTTGCAAAACTTCTCTCTTGCACATACACATATGCGCAAACACACACACTCCCACTCCCCGATTTCAATAATTCTTGGGTGGATTTACAGTTTCCTAAGCAGGTTGCTATAGTGACCCTGCAGAATATTTTTTTCAAAACACTGTTGTATTGTAAATGTTTACATACAGCATAATCCTGCCAAATTGTCTTAAGACAAAGGAAAACACAAAGCGTCTTTGCTTTATGTCCAGCCTTCCAGCTTTTTTAGCATTGAAAATGTATTTTCAACTAACAACAGCAGCTAATTATGCCTTTCTGTGGGCTTGCACACCCTCAGGCCTAATAATGGGTCATCTATTAGCTTTAATGAATAACAAAGCTATCCGATTTACTAGTGTTAGCTGATTTCGCGCATTTCTGAGTAAATTCTGAGTTAACTGAAGGGCTGAGGCTTAGCTCAAGGGCCAGACACCCAGTTGATACAAATCAGTGTCACTTGACTGAAGTAATAAAAATGTTGATACCGGGGCAGGGCTTTACTGATGAACATCAGTAGATTTTTCTATAGTCTTCTCAATCTGGATAATTAATGGAACGATTTAATCATTTTTAGATAACATATGTCAGAAGAAATACATGGTTCCTGTTTTACTTCACATCTTCTGGATTCCAGCAAGAGAGACCAACAGTCAATGGAATATAAAAGTATTTGTTCATGGTGTTGTTTTAAACACTGTAATGTTCCTGTATCAACATTAACAGTAGTGTGATTTATGATTACAGAACACATACATAGCTATCGAATGTCTCCCATGCCTCTACTCTGTTTCTAAGATACTAAAGCAAAGTCCAGAGTGTAATATAATTTACAGCACTATAAAATCTTTTACAACTGAAGCTCAGTGAAAGCTTAATATCCAAGACCTTCTGTAATATGACTATGTCATCTTGTTAAACTTTATTTATGAGAACACTAGGGTTGACAAGAACTTTCTTCACGTCACTTCCCTACTGGTTATCAATATCACCTTTCTCACTTCATGGTGTTCCTAGGAGGAGGTCTTCCTTTCAAAAACATAGGTTCAGACAGATAGACTGTTTCCTCAAAGTTTATGTTTTAGTTACGGCCTTAGATCACTTGCCCAAGATCATGATCTCTTCTTCCCTAGTATGAATTTACAATGCTCTGTCCAAGACAATGGATAATTCAAAGCATTTAGACCTAAGACAAATTCTGAAGCACAATTACCTGAACCTTCTGTGGTTTCTTTTCCCAAACAAAACAGAACAAAATCTTGCAATTCTTGGTTCTGAATTCTCCTCCAGTTCTGCTTTTAGGATTTCAAAATAGATCATACACCACAAAGGTCTTATTTTCTTACAACCCTTTAGATGCCAGAGGAGACTGGCATCGTTAATTCTTGTCATTTCTACGGTTTGAGAGAGCGAAAATCCTGGGAGCCAGTCACCTTGTGAGATTTCCATCATCTGGAGCAAAATCGATGTGAACTTATGCCTGCCCGATCTTGGCAGCCCAGCATATGAATGCAAAGCTCTGATTAACTCAGATTTGGCCTTAGAACCAAACCACCATCTCTAGTTTTACCTTAACCTAGCACTGGGTTGGAAAACACTCTCCTTGAACTTTCATTATGCTGTAGAGCAAGGCAAAAAAGGTTTAAAAAAAATCCCACAATCTTAAAAATATGTTTTCTTTGTTTTCAGAGAGTAATAGTGTCTTCCTAGACCCCAAACAGGGCCAAAGCAGGACCTCAGCTGAGGTCTTGGGAAAGTATCACAGTTGTCCCTTTTCACCCCTGTCTCCCCCTCTACTACCCACCAAGAGTTACACAAAATATTCAATCTGCTCAGCTGTTTAACCCTGGTTTCACTGGTCAGGATGGCAGCTTAACTGGGAGTGTCTTGCCAGCAGAAGAGGTTGATCTCTTGGACACCAGTCCCTTGCAGCACCACTGTCACCCTCTCCTGCAACTTCACTATACCACAGAGATTTCCATAATCTCTGGATAATTTCTAATTAATAAATTCTAATTCGGTAATCTCTGGACTGAGAATATTAAAAATTAATTCTAGCATGGTATTACCAGTCAAATATCAGTTGAGAAAGGAATATGTTCAGAATAAAAGTGATACAAATGGGTAGGTAGGTGTATTTTCACCCTCACAGTATGACTTCTTCATACTTTTCTGGCAAGGAAAGGGAGCCTTAAAATAGAAATAAATTACAACTCCTTTTCTGTTTGGTTAAAGCAGCCTTAGAACAAACAAGAAACAGGCCTGCACATTTTAAAGGCATGGCAGCGAAGTCTGAAAACACATCTCATCTAAGTGTGATTTCCACAAAGATATCCGATTCTTCATGTTTGCCGTTGGTTGAGAACATTTGCCTATCAAGGAATTCAGTATTATCCTCGTGGTCTTTAATGGGGACTGGCCAAATATGTTACACAAAGCATCTACAGATTTTCAACACCTTTGCTCACGCTGTAGAGTGCCTAAGTCCATCAGCAGTGTCCTACAAATAAAAAGGGCTCCTTGCACAGAAGGGCGTTACTAACCTTGAACATGGATAGCGGATTCTGCGTTATATTATCCAGGACTCTATGGAATTAAACTAACAAAAAAATGTGTAATTATTACAGTAGCCAAATATACATGGAGCTCTGCTCCATATTAGTAGAAACCTGCACTGTTACATTTACTACCGCTGTCCTAAGCTTCTCTCCCTGAGATTCTTTGTAAACATGACAGCCCTCTAAAATTCAAAACTTCATCTTGTCCTGATACAGCAGTTGAATCTGGAATCAACCAGCGTCACAGAAAAACTTCAGCCCTCCTGGCACTTCTTCAACAAAGGACGTGTTTGTACTATTGATTGTACTGCTGAAAATAATTTTGCTGTGTTGACAGGCATCACTCAGCACAGATTGTGATGAAAAGCTGAAAATTAGAAAGTTAAATGAACACCTGCAAGAATTTTCCTGCCAATTTTACAACAAAATAAATATTGAATTATTCCGATAAGTGGGTCAAATTCATCCCTGGTGTCATGGCCCTTTGAGGTTAACAGCGCTACGACAGGAATGAATTTGGTTCCTGTGTCTCTTTCACAGAGCAAATGCTTCACTGAACTTTTCAAACCCCCTGTGCCAACATTCATCTTCATTTAGAACCCATCTTTCCCTTTTTACTGAGCTTTTACAGCAAAGTCATAATTTTCCTATCAACTTGCAGTCAATTATGTTGACAGTTTGACATAAATGTTGTACGTACACAAAAATAATTTGCAAAACAGCTTTTTCAATTGTTAGGCTTAACAGTCATTTCCATCATACATAATCTTCTTTGATGTGTGTAATTCCACAAGCTATCCTTCCGGGAAGAACATGCATCCCTTTGTATCACAGCAGCTTGAATAGCATTTTACATACCTGGGGTGCTGCAGAGATTTTCTGAAAAAGGCACTATTATGCAGATTCATTTTCATCCTGTCCTTTTTTTTTATTATTCTATTGCTAGCAGAAGCCAAGGGACACATTATTTTTCTCTTGCAATGCAAGCAAAAATTTTATTCTTCCAATCTACAAGTGCTTACGTTGCAAGAAATTCTTATACGTCTCAGGAAATCCACGGAGCGTTACGGCATCTTAGATTTCCCCCAACGCACATTTGGGCAGGTTCTGATACTCCAACAGCAGAGAAGTGTGTGGGTGTGATGAAACACACTTTTCACAAATCGGCTATAGAGAGCAATGCTCCATTGGACTTCCTTACCCCCATTAATTACAGCCTGTTCACACCTACGGATGTCCAGCTACGTCATTGAGTGAGGAGGGCTTCAGAAGGCACTCAGGAAGCAAAAAGCAGACAACAGATTGTCATGTGCATGATTTCAAGGGCCACTGAGCCCGGTTTTCTGCACATTTGCCCTTTCAAACCTCAAAATAAAGAAAAAGTCTCTGACGTTAAGTTTCAAGAAAGACCACTTTACCAGCTTTCGGCATCCGGGTAGTGTTCTGTAGGTACTCTCCGCTCTTATACAGATTCAAAACTCTCTCTAGCTGAGCAGCCGTCTCATCTATTCCCCAGTGAAGTTCTCCTTTAAAAGCACAGAACAAGAATGAGTTAGATGAGGAGCTACCTGCACAGGACAAAACAAGGTTGCATTCAAATAAAGTCCTAAGCATCAGAGCCCAGCAGTGCCCTGCTCTATGGCAAGGACATGAAATCCCTGAGTTACTACAAATTGGGTTTCATATCTGACATGAGCCAGGCATGCCAAAGGCTGGTTCATCCAGCTAGGAACGCCAGGTCTGCGGGCAGAAAACACTGCAGTAAGCTCCCCACAAGGGACAAACTTTAGCCAATATAGGGAACTCCAAAGGCTTTGCTTGTTAATTAGCTATAGCTCAGCATCATTGAAGTCCTCATTGAATACACCCAGCACAAGGTATAAAACCCCTAGAACAATGCACCAAAAACAGCCACATGCAACTACTCTTGTCCCAAAGGCACTACCTTGGTAATTAGTAAAGATCTATGGCAATGTCACTTGCCCCGGCTTCTAAGGTATAAAAGCACCACTGGTACCACTGGCAATGGGGAAGTATCCTGGTTTTATCATTAAAACTCCCCTTGCGAGAAACAGGGGTTCCTCTAGATCCCCCAAGGAATTGCATTCTGATGCAGTTCACCCTAGTGAACTATTGCAGTGAACATAAAACCAGCATCCCCCACACCCCAAATGTAATAGTCACACTAAAAAAAGGAAATACTTGTCATTACCGTGTTTATTGCAATTACCTGTTGCATTGACTATCTTATCCAGTAACGGTCTCAGTGAGGATGGAGCACTGTGTGGAAGAAGATACGTAAAAAAAAACCTGCAATGGAAAAGTAACCCATATTGAAAAATTAAAAAAAAAAAGAGTTTACAAATGTCTGGCAACTATTGAACAACATAAGGAATAAAATTCCTATTGCTTATAAGCCGCTGACCTATTCAGGAAATATAACCTTATTCTATAGTCAAATAAATATATAGCTGAGACTATTCACACAGCTGTCTGGCATACCTAGACCACTCTGTTATATACAAGGCTGCCTTGTAACTACATGTAAATGTTCCATTAATACAGAAATTTGCTACGAAGCCCCGTGGATTGTGACTATTTGCAAAGTTGTCTGTACTTTAACAAACTAAAAGGATGCCATCAACCCAGAAGTCTTGGGGTTTTTTTCAAACTTTGAAAGTGCTTAAATAAAATTTCTGCTTATTTTAAATAATTGATTATTATTTTCTTTTTTACACTTTTCTTAAACTTTCAAATGAATTGCCAGGAGAAAGCCATCTTCTATTGTAACCCAGTGTCGTAGCAACCTAAGATGGAGATGGACAGTTCAGGATTTGACAATGTAAACAGAACTATCAGACATAAATATTAGGTAATGAGCAGAACAGGAACACAATTAGGAAATTGCCCTGCTTTACATCTAACCTGCAAAGCAAAGTAAACGTTTTTTTCATATACAGAGACCACGTTGTCAAACAGAAACCTCCAGGTACCCGTGCCCAGGAGGGAGACTAGCAGACATCTCACATAAGCACAAATTTAAAAAACTAACTTATTAATTGCAAAAGTTGATCATAGGCATGGGTATTACTGAGCTGACATATTGCACTTATACAATTAATACTTCCTTGAGATTTTAATTGCCTTTTTGATCCATTACAAAAATAGCATTTATGTTTTTCCCAAGTGGGATTATGCCCAGGTAGGTTTTCTTAGTGGTGAATATAAAACAGCCAATATAAATATATACAGAAATCTAAAATGCAGCATAACATTTGTAATGAATAATTTGTCTGGTAAATTTTACCTCACATTTTTTGCTTAGAGATTATCCATAAAGCAGAATCCGACTGATTGTGAATGGTTCTTTGCAAAAGTTCCGTAGCTGTCATTTACTTTGCTAAACGCTGGATGGATGTGAGTCATGGAGGTTACTGGTTTTCTGTGGCTATAGAAATCTATGACTTGTTCTGATGTAAACACCCACATGTGAAATTCTGACATGTAAAGACACCGGCACCTACACAACTTAATTGCAGGAACATTTGTTATTCATTGATTCCAGGGCAAGTGGCATCCCTTGTGATCTGCATAACATAGATTGTCAGACCCTTTTTTTTCCCTTTCGTTTTTCTTTTTGAGAACTATTTGATCTTAATTTAAGAATTGTCAATGATGGAGAATCAATCTCAGCCACTAGTTAACAGTTCAAAACATTAACTATCCTTACTTTTACAACAGTCCAGTGCCTCCAAACATTTGGAGGAAACCCCGTAGAGATACATTTGTGACAGAAGGTAACCATAGCACAGTCAAGATGGGCTCGTTCACGCATGGTAGAGTTTTTTCCAAAATGTTTTCCCTCCTTTAATTATTTACCTCATAAAGAAACCAGCTAGGTAGCCTGATTATGATTCCAAGGCTAGGGCGTGTTGCATTTTAAAGTTACAAGGGTTCCATGCATTGTTTGACATGTTGCTGCTTTTGACTTCTACCTAACAGCACCAGCAACTCTTTACTGAGGACAATCTCTAACCCTAGAGCAACAGAGTGCATCCATGAAAACAAGAAATTTAGTATCCTACCCCTAATGAAGTGTGGACTTAGCCTTCCAAGACAAGGGCACAGGGTTTGTTGCTAATGCTCTAGCACGAGTGGTCGCAGCCTACTCTAACATGGATCTGCTGTTGACCAAAAACCCACTGTCTCTATCGAATTAAGCAAAGGCAGGGGCTGAAAACACTGGGGCTCTGTGTGTGCGTTACACACTGGTGCACAGTTCAAAGACAGTATTAAGAACTGTAATAGAGAAAGACTGCTTCCTTCAGTGAGACCAGCAACCTGCCACAAGCCCACCACACCGCAGACATATCCCCACTTAGGACTGAGATGGATGGGTGCCTATCAAAGGTTTCTTAGCCAGACCAATAAACGGTCTTAACCAAAAGCTAGCAAGCTAAGCAAGATCTTTAAGCCAAGCAAATGGAAATGGAAAATTTTGCAGGACACAGTAAAAACTGCGCTGCACAACTGCAGACGGCTGCCTTGTGGTGCAGCCCATTTCAGTGTGGTCAGCTAATGCAACACACATGCTGGTGAGCGCCCTGGGACCAAAGCATAAGATTCTCTTTGGAGCAGCCTCTCCTCGCTGTGGTCTGGCAGGCAGTGAATGGCATGATACTTGAAAGGGAATCTAAGAAATGAGCACACCATTATGGCATTGCTTTGAGATCCTCCATCCTCCTATCTGGATCAGACAAGGCGGCCATCTGCCCCAGCAGCGCCTGTCAGCCAGAGCGGCGGTGGCAGGAGGAGCGTGGCACTGAGCATCGGCTACTGGTTCCCTGGAAAGCAGCCACATGGCTCCCCCAGCATCCCGCGCAGCCCTCGGAGAGGAGCGATGGCCGACGGGGGAAGAGTCGGGACCACAAACACAAAGCTGTCGCGCAGAAGGACTCTGCTGAAAAATTCAGAGAAACCCTTAAAATCAAATTTGGAAGACGGGCTTCAGCATGGCCGACTGGTCAGCATGACGACCCATCACCTACACATCCCCCATCGCGGGCATGGTGCTGCCGCGGAGTGTGACCAACACTGGGAGCAAGTCCCCCAGCACCTGTCCATGTAGAAATGGGGGCTCTGGGCAGAGGGGAGGGGGGCAAAAGGGAGTACCCGTTTCTTTCAGAGGCTTGGGATTATGCCCCAGATCGCCAGCAACTGAGGGTCTCGGTGGACCCGTGGCTGCACCAGGGCCTATTATAACCCCACCATGGCAGGCTCTGGTGAGGTGGGGAACATCAAGCTGGAGCACAGGACAAGAGCTGAGCTCTAACGCTGCCTCTGAAGCCAGCCCTTTGCCCGGCCGGTGGTGAAAAACGTGAGATGACCCCTCTTAACCCACACTGAAGAAGAGCTGCCTGAATCATCTCACCACAGAGCTAATGGGTCCCCATCTCCACAGGCACCTCTGTTTCCACTCCTGTGAAAATCTCTACTCATGTTAAGAATTCAGTGGGATTAAGCCAATGTAAAATTAGACTGAGTAGTGAATCACACTCAAAGTATGCAAAACATTTCCAAAGTTATAAATGCTACGTATTTTCACAAACGAAACAATTAGTCATGGCTTTACTTACTCTTGGGTAATGGTTCTGAGACAATACGTACTTGTTGATGTGAACAACTATGAAGGATGCTGGAGACTTTTTGGCCACTTTCAGTTCTCTTTTACCTTATCCAATCACGTACCTGTACGCGTTGTAGAGATTCCTCTTTTCGTTCATACTCTGACACCGTCCCTCAACCGAACAGGGCAGGGTGAAGTTCCTCGCAGGGAATTCCATGAAGCAGTCACTGTTACTGGTGCAAGAGCTCTCCTCGATGCTGGCATCATCCAGATCCGTCACCTTCAGTTCCCCATCCACGATCACAAACTGCCGAGGGCGAAAATCCAGTAAAGTCACGGAGCCAAGTGGAGAGTGAGCCAAATAATGCAGAAGGCGAACTAAGCTGAGACATATCTGAAATGCAAATACGTAGGTACCTTGCATTATTTTCTCAGCACAAAATATATAAATGAAATCACTTTAGCTGAAGATATATTCATAAATATATGACTTAATATAAGCATTGTAACATTCTCAAAACTGATTCTTGCAAGAAAGGTATTTTTCATAGGATTAACATAGTTGATTGTAAAACCCGTAGAGACTTGAAACAAAAATAAGCTTCTTTACCAGTGCTTTCCCACACTATTCTTGAAGCAAGGCTCATTGTTGCTATTCTTACTTTTAATAGAAATAAAAGTATTAACTTTTAATAACATTAAGCACAGGCCTTGACCACGCAGCCTGATTCTGCTCTTTTACAAACCCCAGGTCTGGAAGTTTTGGCCGGACCGCTCTGCACCCACGCCTGGAGCTCCAACTGCAGACAGTGTCTGTATTGCCTCCACACTGATCCTGCCTTTTGACTGCTTTCGTAATTTTTTTTCCACTGGTTCCTCTTCTGTTTGCCTTTTTCCAGGGGAGAAGGAAGCAAATTCCCAGAAAAAGGAGCTCCACAGCTGCTCCGTAACTCTTTGTTGTACCTCAGCGTAAGCGTATATGTCCATCTGCCTTGGTGGGTCTACGTTGGCGGACCCTCATGTGCCACTCTGAGGCTCTGTGCTGATGCTGCACTTTTAGGTTGCAGGTTAGAAACCTGAGTAACTATTACTAGGCAGCAAACTCGATGAATGTTGAACTCAGCCCCCTTACCCAGGTACTGTTTTCAATTCATGCATTCCTTTAGAGTCCACTATGTAAGATATTCACGTAAATGTAGTATTAATATGAACACAGTTAAATACTGGAATTTTAATTCTATATATTAAATTAATAACAGGCCTTATTCAGTCTAGCAAGCTTTTTATTGTTTATATATAATCCCTGTTTTCTGTTGAAACACACTGTTAAGGCCATGTGCATTGAAGTAGTCAAATTCAAATTCAGTCTCGGGGCACAAGTGGTATACTCAGGGGAGCACCTAAATGGGTCCTTCCGAAGCACGCTGAGCGTGTCTGAAGTTATCCCTCACAGACCCTTCACCTGTGGAACATTAGGACTACCTTACACTTCTATAATCATTTCCCAGCTTGACCAGACTAGAACGTTTTTATCCTCCTTGCAGGATATCACAGTTCATATGGAGATGCCTGTAGGTGTAAATGAACACAGGCCTGGTTATGGGATGTCAGACTTGACCACTCTTTCCTTCCTCTGGAAAGACACAGGATTCATGTATGTGCCATCCCACAGTACACTGTATATAAAAGGCACATACAGCCTAAACTAACCTATAACACACATATCTTCAGTTTTCAGTGAACCCAGAATTTAGCTTGAATAAAAACGCAGGTCGTCATCTGAAATTATTGCCTTTTTTCAAGCACCAAAAAGCCCCTGCTCCTGCACTGGGAACCTCTGTGACCACCCCTATGGGCTGCTGCCCTGCGTGCCTGCTGTCAGGCTGGGACTGGAAATGCCCCTGTGCGACAAGCTTTAATGTTTGTTCAGTATCACACATCTCTGCTGAGCGCAGAGGTGATGATCTGAGGAGCAAGTTTATTACTGAGTCCTTCAACACACGGAAATTATTTGTAGGAATAAGGTCAAATATTTATGCAGCCATTTTCAGGTCCGGACCACAAACAAGTCTCATGTATCATGAAGACATGATTTTACTTCCTCCTTATTCTCTGCATTAGTTGTGTCTTAGACAACCTAATGCGCATGACATTATCTAAGACTTCATTACAGTGGTCACAGGAATGTTGAATCCGTAATTCCACCTCTGTGAATCAGCTCAATACCTTCATCTAATTCTGCTTCATCTCCCTTTGCTCACTCAGAAATATCCATGCTGGAAGGAAACTTCCCTGTTTATTACCCATAATCTAACACATCTCTTGGTCATTTACTTTGTACATAGTTGCCGTCACAGTCCGTTATTTGCATTCCCTAGATGAGATGAACCGAAGACAGGTCCTGTATTTCAGGAGCCGTGACAAGTACATCTACCGCTTTTTAAGACTGTACTTCTTTCAGGAAAAGGGAGCTGAAGCTTAGCGCAGGGAACACACTTGCTCCATCTGTATTAATAAAACAAACTCTGCCAGGGAACATTCCCGGGCACAGAAATTTAATCCCCCACACACACTTGCTAGCACGGTCTCTGGCCTGGGTCTGACCGGGACCAAGGCTGTTCTCCCGCACAGTCTCCAGACGCGATCGAGAAGGCAGGACGGCCCAGGGACCGTTTCCAACGGGTATCCTGCGTGCAGCCACCTGGCCATCAGAGAGTGCAAGAATTCAATAGTACAGACGTGAGTTGCACCTAGCTGGTTCATCTCTGAGGTCAGTCAGGGGCACTTTTAGTTTTTTGGTCCAGACGTAGCCATGCAACCCAAAGTGTTTCAGATGAAGACTGCTGCTGCCGCGCAACATCTTAGGGAATTAACCTCAGCCGATGACACATCCCAATATACACTAAGAGAGAAAGTGCTGTCTTGATCAAAGAGTTCCTGCAGTCTGGCTTCGTTTTGGACAAATTAAGTGTGATCTTCATGCTCCTGGTAAATTGCCAATGTGGTAGACAAGCCAGGTTTGAGATTTGTGTACATTTATTTCACTCTTCCCCCAGTAAAAGACAAACAGAGCAAGAAGCAGTAGAAAACAATTCTAAAACCAACCTATGATAAGGATCAGGAGAGAAATGTAACATCCTTCTATTGTTTAAATCCCAGTTGCAGAGCACAATGCTCAATGCCAAAAATCCTGGACCTCAAGCTTTAACAGGTAAGAGATGTTTGAACATACCATGTAAAAAGCATATTACCAGCTGCAACTAGATAACATCAACAGACAAAACAGCACAGTATCTTAACACTGCAGGAACGGAGTGCTAAATGTTGTTTCTAAACCAAGATGTGATCATATGCAAAGCAAACGTTTAATAAATGTGAATTGCACTGCCTAGTACATAACCCCTGCTTCATGCTTGAAGTTATTTTTTTTACATTGCTCTCTTAAAAGTCCTTTTAAAACAGTTGCTACTTACTCGAAATCTGTCTTCCCAGGAAGTCTGTAAAAGCTGAATCATCTCTAAAGGCGAGCCTAGTTCAGTGATGGTTGTCAGTGTGTCTGGGATGTCATTGCTATCTTGGTAGCAATAGCCATAGAGCTGAAAAAAAATCACAACCAGTCTATATCAGTGTAACATATCTCCATATGCTTTTACGTTTCTCCGTGGATGAGGTGCAAAGTAAGCATTTCTTACAAGGCTTTGAGTTCCACACAGTGTATTGCCTTGAGGTTGCCCCCCAATAGCTTTCGTGTCCTCTCATTTAAGGAACACTCCCCTGAAATTCCAACTCCCAAATTAGCTAACAGAGTCTCCTGTGGGCATCACACAGCAGAAGGTCAGTGAAGTGCCCCCGGGATACCCCTCTGTACAGGATCTTAGCTCAATGAATGTTGTATTGGATTTGCATGGCAAGGTTTTGGTAGCAGGGGGGCTACAGGTGTGGCTTCTGTGAGAAGCTGCCAGAAGCTTCCCCCATGTCTGATGGAGCCAGCTGGCTCCAAGATGGATCTGCTGCTGGCCACGGCCAAGCCCATGAGCGACGGTGGTCGTGCCTCTGGGAGAACAGAGGAGTTAAGAAGGGGGGAAAAACACCCTGTACAACACCAGCAGCAGCCAGAAGAGAGGAGTGAGAATATGTGAGAGAAACAACTCTGCAGATCAAGGTCAATGATGAAGGAGGGGCAGGAGGTGCTCCAGGTGCTAGAGCAGTCATTCCCCTGCAGCCCATGGGGAAG